TCCAGCCCCAGCCCCAGCCCCAGCCCCAAGGCATTTCTGGATGAACTTGAACCTCCTGCATTTTGGTTGGCAGTCAAGATCATTAACCATTTGCACCACCTTTTATAACTGAGTCAAGGTTTGCATAAGCACAGGCTCATTTTTGGTGTGCTGGGGTAAGGGAGGGGAGCAAGGATCCCAGAAAGTCTTTGGAGACTTATTTGGGTGATACCTTAGCTATCTAGTTCTGCTGGAGCAGAAGAGCACATGGGGATGCCTTCAACAGACAGATGTGGTTGAAACGTTTAGGAGGCCAGAAGTACAAATCCAGGCTGTCAGCTCTGTTAATTGCCATCGAGTCCAGCACAACTCATAGCGACCCTATGAACAAAAGGCCTAAAGCCTTTCTCTAGAAAAAGGCTTCTCTAGTAAAAGGCTTCTCTCCAAAAAATGGAAGATGGAGAGATTCTGTGCCCCTGGAGGCCAGAAGTCTGACTCTGGGTGTCTCTCTGTGCCCCTGGTCCTCAGAGCTTCCTAATGCAGGAACCTGGATGCAAAGAATGTGTTCCACTTCTGCCTCTTCTTTCTGGGTGGCATGTGGTTTTCTTCTTCCCTGCTCTTTTCTCCTTTTATCTCTTAAGACAAAGGGTGCTGTGGGCCACACCTGGGAAACTTCTCTTATGCCAGACCAGCTTTGACCTGATTAGCATCTCACCCCAATATCGTTACAACTGATGGGCTCATCAAATCCCAGATCACACTGTGGGGATCTCAGATCACATCGTGGGGGGTGACTACATCATTACCGAATTGCCTCTAATCCTGCCTCATTGACATCATAGAGTTTGGGAGTTAACCATACATAGAATTGTTACAGAATACTGAGAATCACAGCCTAGCCAAGTCCACACATATTTGTGGGGGTTGTATCTAGTTATTGAAGGAATAAATGGGAATTCCTTTTTTTTTTTTTTGCATATAATTGTGCAACAGTAGTAAAAATAAAATTAGATCAGCTTAAACAAAGGCATGTGACAGATAATTCATCTGTGTTCCATTACTGTGAGGGACCTTTTGGCCACGATGATTAGCCCTCCTCCCTCCGCCCCTTTTTTGGTTGTGGTGAGAACATAACAAAACATTTGCTGACTCAACAATTTTTACATGTGTAATTCAATGACAGTCATCATCTACGCCGTGTCCCTGCTCCCCAGCCCTGTCTTTTCCCTCCACCTTTGTTCTAAAGTCACTGCTCTCCAAGAAAGGATTTCTCCTGCCTTTTCCCTCCTGCCCTTGGCAAACAGCAATAGGCTTTGGCTTCTATGTATTTGCCTGTTTCACACAAAGTAGACATAATTGTCCATCTGAGACTGACTAATTTTGTCTTGATGATATTTTTAATCAATTCTCGTTGAGGCATGCGTCAGGGCATCATCTTTCTGTATGTCTGCGTAATTTCACTGCATGTCATCCTCAGTTTACCCGTTCGTCTTCTGATAGACATTTGGGCTGTTCCCACTGTTAGGCCACTGTGAACAGGGCTGCAGTGAACACAGGTGTATAAAAACCACTTATTGTGAGTGGCATCCACTTCCATAAATAGCTTGCCTCCGGAAACCCTATGAACCTGGAGAGAGGATGAAAGTCACGCAAGTGTTGAGGACTTCCGTTCATAGGATCGCTATGAGTCGCCTACAACTCGACAGCACTGAACAACAACACTGTGAGCGTAGACCCAGGACTGCGGCTCCTGAATATTATGTTGATTCACTGCCCCTTCTTCCTTCCTTTGTCTCTATTCCCTAGGTTTGCCTCATTCCTAAATCAGCACACGGGACCAATCCGGCAAGTGCCCACATGGCCGGTATGCACATACAGCCAGTGGAGGTTGACAGATATGGGAACATCGATACTGCCCACCTCAAGGCCATGGTACGTGGGCTTTCCTTTTGCGGCTCGGAGAAATCTCAGCTGGGAAGAGGCCCAGGGCGTCAGGGACAGGTGGGATCTATTGTATCTTTTTGCATTCTGCTGAAATGACTGTAAATTCTCAAGAGAATGGCTGTGGGGAAGTGTGAGTAAAAGGATAAAGAATAAGAATAAAGGAAAATCTGGGCCCACACTTCTGGGCCCGAGTAAAGTGGGCCTAGGCTACTTTACTTCTCCTTTTGACAGTAGAGGATGGTCCTTACGTGGAAACTCCCATCCTCCAATTCAAATGAATTATTCATGGAGGAAGTAAGAGTTCTCTTAAAGATCCTCCCTGCCTCTTTCTGCCTGAGCCTCTGCTCACTCCATCCTTAACAATCCAACTCGCCTTTGTACTTACTGTCCATCCCGTGATAGAAATTAGAACACAAACACAGGTTTTGTGAGTGTCTGGACTGCCCCAGACATTACCTGCTGTGTTTTGGGCAACGTTTCCCATCTGCCTAACTCAAACACCAGCCCCCACTCCCAACCTCCAGGAAGCAGTTGCTAAGCAACGATATCTGCTTTCCACCCGTGGACGGGAGGCTGCATCTTAAGAGGGAAGGAAATCAGTTGAATAGCAATGTGATTCTGTCGGGGTTATTAGACACGGGGCCTGAAAACTTCCCATAATGCTTTCAGAGTGAAGCTGGAAACACACAATACTGCTCCTCGCCCATCCGCACCATCCTTTACTCAACCCACAAACTCTTTTACCCAAAAATATTCTGGGCCAGTGTTTAACAACTCTCTTCAATATAAATCATGATCTTTTTTTTTTTTACTTTCACATGAGCCTGCTCTGACTCACTGGCCATAAAAACAGGAACATGCCTTTACACATGCTTATCTGCTGTCAGAAGGAAGAATGAGGGAGATTTTTATCACAGCAGAAAGCCTTCTGCTGGGAATTCTGACTTCATGGGAATAGGAGGGCAAGAAGCTAAGGGTGAGCATGGCAAGATGAGAAGAGAATGATTTACACTGAGAACAGACATGCCCACAAGGTGGAACTAATTGGTGAGAAGACTTAACCAAAGGAAAACCATCTTAGAGACGTGAGGCCAAAATAGCTGAAATCTCTAAACTGACATTTTGGTCTTGACCATGAAGTCCCAGCATAAGGGATGGTGTTATTTCTTGGGAACAATTTAGGAAGAGGGTAATAGTTGTGGATTTTGTGTCTTGGTCATTCTACTTTGACAGCTGCAAAAGTGAGAAGGCTACGACTTTATTTATAATAACATTCAAGTGTTTTACCAAGAGAAAAATATTCCCTCCCTCTGTCTTTCTCTGCTCTTCTTTTTTTTAATTTTTATTTTATTTTTCTTATTTTCTCTGCTCTTCTTGATCCCAAAGGTGGATAAGCATAAGGAGAACCTGGCAGCCATTATGGTCACGTATCCATCCACCAATGGCGTGTTTGAAGAGAACATCAGTGACGTGTGTCAGCTGGTCCACCAGCACGGAGGACAGGTCTACCTCGATGGGGCCAATATGAATGCTCAGGTGGGAAACGGGACAGATTACCCTGAGTTCTTTCTCTGAAAATGTTAGAAAAAAAAAGTAAATAATTTCCCCCCCCCTTTTGATCTCTGGTCAGTTATCTTAAAATGTGACACTGAATTCAGAACTGAGACAGACTTATTGCCAGGTTCAGGTACAGTTTGCTGGACTGAGTTTTCTAGAGAAGCAAAACTAAGACGTTTATGTATATACATGGAGAGAGATTAAGATTTCTTTCAAAGAAATGGCTCATGCACTTGGGGATGAATGCTGATCCGCTACACAGAGATTTCCCAGGTCAGTAGGTGGCACCTCAAGGAAGAGGCATCTGTGAAGGGGTCCAAGGTCAGCAGGTAGGGCTGCAAACTGCTGGCTTCAAAGGTTGACAAGTCCAAGTCGGGGCTCTGGTTCAAGTCCAAAGGCAACAAGGTAGATACAGAATCCAAATTGAGGGGAAAAACTCTCTGGCTTTGAGAGTCTATACATATTTAGAGTAGGTCGTGTTGTTGTTGTTATGTGTCGTAGAGTCGCTTGCAATTCATAGCGACCCTGTGTACAACAGCCTAAAACCCTTCTCTGTCCTGTGCCATTCTCACTGTCTCCGACATGCCCATCCCGATTACCCCAGTGACTGAATCAATCCATCTCATAGAGGGTCTTCCTCTTGTGTGCTGTTCTTCCACCCTACCAAGCATGACTGGTCCCTCCTTGTAACATGTCCAAAGTATATCAGATGAAGCCTCAGAATCCTTGCCTCCAAGGAGCAGCCTGGTTTAACCCTCTCCAGGATGAACCTGTTTGTTTTCTTAGCAGTCCATGGTACAT